GTGTGTGTGTGTGTGTGTGTGTGTGTGTGTGTGTGTGTGTGTGTGTGTGTGTGTGTGTGTGTGTGAGAGACGGGGGTGTAATAGATACAGTTTTAAATAATTCGGTCGACATCACTTCAGTTCTAACCATCAAAAACTGTACTGGTTTTGACATTTCACAGTTTACGATACAGGCAGGGTGATAATGAGCGGACTTTATCAGAGTTAGTATGATCAGCTCGATTTTGGCAGAACAATTTAAATCCAGAGACAGCCCTTCGATCAGAGCAGTCGCTCCAATTAAGACACAGATTAGAATCTCTGATCATCGGCGTTTCGTCACCAATCACAGACGCGTGCTTGAAATTTTTTTGCCATCTTTACTTTTTATCCTGTGATTGAAAATCAGTGCAGTTTTTCTGGTTGTTCAGAAATGTACAAAAAAACGGCGGCTCGGACGGATGAAGCTCCAACACCAGCGGTTACCAGATACCACTGGAGCGGCCGCCGGGAGGGGCCAGGATCCGAGCCGAGGACCTCTTCGGGATGTGGTCGTCGACCTGAGACCCTGAAAGGAAAAACACGTACGGACTATTAAATTTGATCGAGGACTTCGGTGTAACGTCACCATAATCAAGGACGATTTTATTACAGCTCACCTGAGAGGCTGAAAGAGGACTCGTGAAGGTCTCGGATTCCGGAGTGCACTCGACCGCAGGCTTTATTGGGCGTCTCTCCATCTATGGGGCCCAAACCGAGTTCCTTCTTCATGGTGTTCGCAACCTTGGCCACATCACCAGAGTACGGATCCCTGTCCACCCCTTTGTAAGCCTGAGTCTGAAACACGATGAGGTGAGAGGTAAGATTAGGATGTTTAGCCATTTTTAACCTAATAATAACAGCCAGTTGAGCTGCTGCTGCAAGATTGATACTGATTAAAATTTGTTACATGTAAGTAACCAAGTTAAATTCCACTGAAGAAGCACAAAATTAAAACAAGGTGTGAAAAAAACTGGAATTAAAATAAAAGCTTGACTAGAAAAAATAAAAAGATCTTGTGCACTCACAAAAATCATTAAAATGAAATAAAAACTAAAACTAAAAGGCACAAGTACTTTTATTTGTACTAAAACATGTGTTCTGAAACTAGAAATGAACATACTCACTCTGTAAACTACCTGAAATTGAACTGAACTGTAAATATAAGTTCTTATAAAAACAGTTTCTGTACTTTTGTGACAAGTTTTTTAAATAAATTGAGATAAAAAGGTCTAAAAGCAAACAGAGTAGAGAGGCTGGGATGGGGGGCTTTCACAGACAGGGGCAGCAGCAGGAAAACACACTGCTGGCTTCCACAGGGAGCATTAAATCCTTTATATGGGCTGTCAGATCGGTGGAGTCAGTCACATCATGATGGGAGTGTTTGTGGCAGGTTTGCTGTCAGCTGACACAGCAGAGCTCAGCCTGGATCTCGCTGTCCTGCCCTGGAGTTTTAATTATCAGTGGAAACACTCACAACACACGGAGGCAGGTTTGGAATCAGTGTTAATAAAGTGATGACAGTGAACGCACCTTTTCCCTCTGCACCATCTTCTTGTAGAGGTAGTCGGGGAAAGTGCGCTGCGGGTAGAACTTTCCGGACCCCTCGGCGCACATGAACACGCCGTTCTCACACACCAAACGCCCCCGGCTGATGGTGACCAGAGGGACGCCGTGGCAACGCATCCCTTCGTACAGGTTGAAGTCTCCGCCCTGCACCTGAGTGCTCACAGAGATTGTCCTGCACACACACACACACAGAAAGTGATGGATGTGTGTCCCTATGCTTCGGGCTGAGTCCAGTAATAAAGGTGATTCCTGTTTATTTACAGCTGTGTACCTTGTTGCATCTGGATCCCAGACCACCACGTCAGCGTCAGCCCCGGGGATGATGCGGCCTTTGCGCGGGTACAGGTTGTAGATCTTTGCAGCGTTGGAGCTCGTCACCGCCACAAAACGATTCTCATCCATTTTCCCTGTAACCTTAAAAATACAGAAAGCCCATCCGATCATACAAAACGTCTTTATTTCTGTCGCTACTGTGGTAGACCATGATGTCATTCAGCTGCTTCCCCAGAGAAAATCTCATCCCAGTATTGGACAAACTCCAACTCCAGGTCTTGGATGGTGCTCTGGAGATCAGCTGAGAGCTGCATGGCCACTCTAGCTAGAGCAGAAGATCTATTTCATGTGCTGGTAAAGTGGTCTTTCTCATAGAGGCTTCAGAGCAGAACATGGACATCCATCACCAGCTGCAGTTCAAGATGGTGCAGTATGAGTTCATTCACTGGAGAAATACTTAATTTTTATTGCAAATAGCTGGAAAAAAACTGAGCAATCTCTCAGACTGTTGAGTTTGTGGAGTAGAGGAAATATCTTGGCACAGTAACTGATACAAGCTTTGAGCCTCATGTGGATGCTAATGGTAGAAGATATCGCCAGTGCTTGTCATATTATGATAAGCTTCAAACTTTTCATTAAGTTTTATAAACAGAAACAAAACTTAATGAGTAAGTTTTATTTCTGTTTAACTGCAGAAAACTAAGACTTACCAACATGGTGTCAAAACAGACTTAAGAACTTCCACATCCACTGGTTGTGGATGATAAATTGTGTGGTTCATGGCTGATCTCAGGTTTTTATGTGTGCGTTTGACGTGTGTACGTACCACTCCTCTCTCCCAAATGACGCTCATCCTGTCCTGGACTCCAGGCACTCCATGAGGGATCTTGGTGAAGTCCTCTTTGCCCAAAGCTCTCTGCTTGGTGCTGAACGGACGGTGCTCTGATGCCACCACGCTCAGATTGTCACTGAAACAGGAAACAAGATATCAACGTTTAGTTTAGAGGAGCGTTTTTATCCACGGCACCTTTGCCGGTCACTGAGCTGCTGTTGCGATCAGTTTACTCGAAGCAGTACAGCATGCTGATGTGAGTGCAGCACACATACTTGCCCAGCAGGCCCATGAGGTAGCTGGGTGTGTTTGGGTCGAGGCGGAGCGGAGGGACGATGACATGGGCGGCGGCATGAGCCCAATCCTGGTGGTAATACTGCATCCCATTCAACACTGCGTGAGCAACTGTAGTCTCCCCGTGGACCACCTTACCTGAAATTATAAAAAGTGAAGAAAAGTCAGCTTTCATCCTCTCCATCGTCACGGTGACTGTTAGTTTGTCTTCATCGGGCAGTAAGCTCACCCTGCATCTTAGCAGCAGCGATCATATCACCAGCAGACATACTGGACACATTTACCAGGTAGATTGGGCAGCGAGCCTGTGGTCACACAAAAGATTTTAATCAGTCCTTTAATTACTTATCAATAACTGCATACAGACTGGATATTAAAATGTTTTTACCCTGTTGGCGATGGTGATGGCTCTGTGAGTGGCCTCAGACTCCAGCTGCAGACAAGAAGACAGAGTAAAATCACAAAATAACAACTTTAATAAATAAACATTTTAATATTTATTGCAAATATCTTACAAAAAAAAAGTTCAAGGCCACAATGATTACTTGGTTTTGTTTTACATTTATAGGAAAGATCCCTAAATATTTCTACTGAATATTCAAAATTAGGTTTTATCAGCATTTTAAGGGAACATCAAGGAAAATACTTTTATTTTCCACTGTTATGTTTTAGACTTTTATCAGTGCTTTTTCACACATCAGACTAGAAAGAGTTTTTACTACAAGCCACATTCACATAGTCCCACATTAGTCTAATATCACGCCCGCTCACACTCTAATGGATGTGTTGGGCGTAAGTCCAAGTGTTCAGTGCCAATGTAGACTGCAGGAGCAGATTGATCCTCTGACCTTTAGATTAGGATACGACCGCTACCTCCTGAAACCCCCCACCCCTCTGTCCACTGCATATTTACCTCCTCTGGTCGACTGATCTCTATTCCCTCCGGCCCACTGATGCCCAAATCCAGAGCCTCTTTGGCACCCTAACAACACAAACACATTCATTTTAAAACAGGTTTGTGATTTCACTTCGACGTTAAAGGAAAAGAAAATTTGTCTTTGCACCTCGGCCACCAGCTCTCCGTTTTCAGCGTGGACTCGGGCAATGGCACCAATGTCCTTACAGGTCTGCAGAGTCTGGTAGAGCTCTGAATCCCGCAGCATCATCATGTCTTTGTAGGCCATGAACATCTGGAAGGAGTTCACTCCATGTTCCCTCACCAGGGTCTCCATCTCATTACGCACCTAAGGACGATTCAGAGGTCTCAGGGTCAGCAGTCATGTTTCTGGATTACAGTTCAGTGCTTGCAAAGCTTCAGCTTATATATGTAAAGGCAGTTAGTGCATCGGGCATTGGGAATGTGGGCATGGAGTGAAAGAGAAACTGTGTGTGTGTGTGTTTGTTTTGTGGGGCATGAAATGAGCTTGGAAACCTGCCACAATGAGATCACACTGCCTTTACACTGGTGACTATAACAGCCCCGCTGAGAAGAATCCATTTCATTCACTCAAACAGCAGTAAAAGGAAACTAGACAGTTTAGTGTTTAAAATGCTGAACTGTGCTGCGGTGAATGGGCCATAAAGGTCACGTCATAGTCATGATGGAGTATTGATGAAAGGAGCAAAACTACTTCCTTCCATAATGATTAATCTACTTTTACAGCTCATGACAGTTTGAGTATTTTTTATCATTATCATTATTATTCTCTCCTGTTATTGTTTCTCTCTGCAGTGTTTCCTTGTCTGTGGACCCGGCCTCTGTGTCTTTGTTTCCTTTTCTCTGACACCTTGTTTAGTGTTAATCAGGATTTATACATTTGGATTAATTTATGCTGTAGATCATCCACTGTATGGTAAAGCCCTCTGAAAAAGCTATGCTGTAACATCACTTCCACTAGAACTGCAACCACACGTCGTGCTGATGCAGCGTTTTAGTGACTAGCTCAATTTCTCCTACATATTTTCAGCTACCTCTGTCATCATTGTCCAAATCAATTCAAAGAGAGAAACCTTCTGCCAACCATTCTTTGGGTGATGGCGGTTTTGGACACTAGGATAGACTACCATGCAGACTCGACATAGATTCAAAGTATAAATAAGTATAAATAAAAGTATAAATTAAGACTTCATGTCCTTGTTTTACTTTGATAGTCAGTTTTCTCTCTTGTGTTGTGTTAGTTTGATTTTCTTTTCTTTTGCCCTCCTTTATTATTATCTGCCCCGCCCTGCTTGTTTTCACTGGTGTTCAGCTTGTTTTTGTGTAATTAGTCCCCTGTCTTATCTGTCTTCAAGTTTGTCTTTGTTGGAAGGTCTGCCCAGGCTCACTTTCTCTGCCCAAGCTCTGTTGGGTTATTGTTTCGTGGGTATTTTTAGCCAGATACTGGCTCGCCCTTGTTTTTCTGCCTTTGTGTCCTCTCTCTTTACCACACACACCCTGAAATGTGTTAAGAAACATTGTGTTGACATTTTTTAAACAAGAATGACTACCAGTCAAAGCTTTCTGCTGGACAGGTGTTGTATTAAACCTCATTCTGGCATGAAACGTTTAACAATATGCAATGAGATTGGGCACATGCACAAAGTCAGCAGATGATGTAGGACAGACATTAAAGCCAAAGGCTGAATGAGGCACCTTGACTCATAGAATCTGCCTAATGTGCCCACTGAGCACGTGTGTTAACCCAGTTCTTGTGCGGGTTTAATCTAGGTCATTACACATTTCACCCACAAACGGCTGGCTGCGTTATTATTCATTCAACGATGATAAACGCCAGAAGAGCACAAAAATAAATAATGATATATGCTACCAACGTAATTCCAAGCTCTTTGGTGGTATGTTTTTTAAATTTACCTTTGGTCCCCACCAGGTCAGCCCGACGTGCAGAGCGTAGTCGCAGCACGCCTTGGCATCGGCCAGAGCCCTGCACTTCTCGTAGGCGTCCAGCAGGGAGCAGTGTTGTTCAGGCAGAACCAGAGCCATCACCATGGTGGTACCACCCATCAGAGCCGCCTGGGTGAGGTAAGAGGGTGACCAGGGGTGACAGAGAGGGGGGCAGAATAAGAGAAAAGAAAGACTGATTAGAAAGAGGACAATAACACCAATGTCCAGCACAGACTCTGTTTGTCTGGTGACAATAGTCCTTCCTTATCAACTGTTCATCATATGCTCTGCTCTTTATTGATTGCACTGACTCTCTTGTAGCCACTGCTTCATTTTCCTTTCAGTGTTGTTCTCAGTCTAAATGCCCTTATTTAGTACTGTAATCACTGGTTTATCCTCTCTATAGAAATATCTCAGCCTGACACAGAAAGAGAGATTAGGCTTTTTTCCTTCCAAGAGTGTGACAACATTGGTTTCATTAAGTTTTGACAAAAGGCTTCACATTACTGTAGCTATACGTGTGAACGTCTTAATACTTCACAACCTCAAAAACTACAAACGTAAGCTTTCTGAATATGGCTCCTGCTGCTAAATGTGGCTCCCTCACTTCTACTCCACAGGAAACAGAGAACTGGAGAAGATGAGAGATGAAATTACTAATGAAGGAGAGGAGTGGGCGAGAGGAAGCAAAGTTACAGATGGGGGGGAAAAGAGAGGATGAGGAAACAACGATAGACTAGAAGAAGTGAAGGAAGCTGTGTGCAGTGACTCGTCTTCCTCGCTACAATGGTGAATGCACCTTTGTGTAACCATGACAACAGATACTGCTCAGCCATGCCTGTCGCACGTCCCCACCCTCTTCCTCCTCCTCCTGTCCTCCTCTCTCCATCCAAAATTGCGCAAACATTCACCCATCCAATATCCTCTAACAGGAATATCACACCGAGGCATGATGGGAGAACGTCTGTAATCGCATATAAAACAGGAAATGAAGAGGTGGGGTGTGAAACAGCTGTAATCTGCTCTTTAGTCATCATCGACAATCAAAGTGACGTTAAACCGCCATCATTTTTGCAGCCTAACCTCAATAAAATGTGACTACATGAGAACGTTTCTGTGACAGTGTGGAGCCGTTGCCTCGGGCTCCAGACGTGTCTCACAGACGGGGGCGGGGTCACCTGCTTGTGAGCGTAAGCTCAGTCGGCCAGAGAGCTACCAGATTTCTCATTACCATAGAAACCAGTCCGAGTGATGTGCAATGTCAGCATTGAAGGTCTCAGCATATGTGTGCATGAAGAGTGTATGTCATTGATCACTGTCACTACATGTAACTGTGTGCATGTGTGCGTGTGAGAGAGAAAGCGGGGGGCACAGATGCACAGCTGGGGATTGTGGGATTTAGGCTGTCTGTCTGCTTGGCCTCAATTAAGATTTACTGCCGGCCCCCTTCTTTAAAAAATCCCAGAGGGCAGAGCGGAGAAAACAAGCGAGCAAACAGGAGGTAAAGGGAAAAAGAAATCCCTGATCACTGCATCTTTACCGATCCATGTTACGCACACGACAGTATGAGCTAACATTGCTATAATCAGTGTGAACTGATTCAGGGGCAGTTTGAGACTTTTCTGTCAAACTGGAATAAAGGAGCTGTCTGAGAGCTGAGATGTTTTTCATGCTGTTTTCAAGCAACATTTGCAACTACAAACACTCGAAACAACATCCAATTTTAGCTTGTTCTAAATTACAAACCTGCTGTGGAGACTCAAGAAGCACAGCATCACTCGCTCACTGCAGACAGCACAGAGCATATCTGCTGGCAACAGCAACAATACCAGCCGGGTGCATGTTTAAGCCCAGGATAGTTGTGCATCCTTTTGCAAGCTTTCAGATATTTCACAACAAAATGAGTCGTCCCTCCAGTGACATCATTACACAGCTTTGTGAATGTGTCCACATAACTTAAGTAGAAGATTTGTAGATTATAAATTCCTAAAGATACCAGAATATCAGGTCAAATCAACACACAGTGCGCACTGATTATTTAACATCTGGTTAAGAGCAGTGATATAAGCATGTGGATCGTTTTTCAACTCTTTAATTTAAACATACCAAAACATAAACAGCGATGGAGAAAGACAGCGTGTTCAGCCAACCAACATCGTTTAATCTTAGTGGATCTGACCTAAAAGCTCTTTTTGTCAACCCAACATACTGACACATAAACCACAAGCGGTGCGTAATATGAATCTCCTGCTCCATTAAAGACCCCAAACCCCTACTGTGAAGATAATCCCCTGCATAGAAAGTAAAAGAGATGGCGAGAGGGCGGCAGGCATGAAGGAAGGAGTAAAAGAAGTTGAAACCCAGTAGAAGAACATCTATAGACTAATAAAGATCAATAACAATACTTTTGGGATTTTAAACTGTAAACTGCAAAGCTGGATTATTTTAACAGATCACCAAGAGAAAGTTACATCTAATAATAACAGTTCAAATGTTTTTATTAAGTTGATTCATTCTGAAACCACACCGAACACAATCATTTAAAAATAGCATTAGTTGTGAAGATTTTAATGTACAAAAGAAAGAGTTAACTTTTCCTCCAAGAAGAACCAACGAGCACACAGAAATCCTGTCACATGAGTGCCTGAAGCTTCCTTTACATATGAAAGCGACTGTGAGGGGGAGAGAGTGTGTCAGACTCTGGGAGAGGCTATCAGTGTGAGACAGATTACTGCTCCAGCCCTCTGATCAGCCTCTATCAGCTCCACTCGTACTTCTTATTACAGCCGAGCACCTCACCTTCTTCCACTACCCTCCTCCTTCTCTTCATTGCTACAGTTCAGCCTGCTGAGATGTTTAAATGATCTCAGCCAGGCCTGCTGTGACAGATACAGCTCAGGCAACATTTCAGGCTTTATGTAAAAAAAAAAAAAGCAGATCTGCTTAGCTGGATGTGATTGATCAGTGTTACACTGTAAAGACTGACTGTGGATAACAGTGAGAGCAGATCACACACTTTATTCTGTTAGTATTTAATAACAGAGACACAGCTGTGCTTTTCGATTGTAGTTTATATCGCCTGGAAGTCTTTTTTAACTGTTCAAACCCGTCACCTGTCAGGCAGTGTGATGCCCCTGAGGCCGAAACCTTTTTATTTTAACTTTAAAGAGTTCACGGTTTTTAATATTGCATCTACATATGTGGGGCAGTGGTCAGCATCGCCCCCTGCTGGTCATCATTGGCTTCCCTTTACAGACCTTACAGATCTTTTATATACAGTCCATGGCAGACACAGAAAGAAGGTTCTGATGATGGACTGGCTACATGTCTGGTGACCTTCACCTGGATAAGCAGCTAAGAATGGCTGAAAAGACTTCAGCATGATGTCAAAGAAGCTAAAACATCAGTTCCAGATCATTCCTATCCGGGCAGCACGTTCTTCCTCTTGACCTTCCACCATTACAGCGTGTTATATAAATCGGGGTGAAGCAGAGGAACAGGAGGAGGCACCAGAGGAGGAAGGAAGTAAAGCAGAAGAGGGAGCAGACAGTTACAAAACAGAGGGAGAGAGGGATGCAGAGGGGGGAAATAGTTTAGGGGTTCATCACAATTACACGAGCAGTTGCTGCGGTAACACAGTCACCATAGGAACCACACAATACTACCACGGTCATGTGTGCACATACTCTCTCACACACACAGAAATTTCCATGCTAAGAGTGCGGGTTAGTTGTCATGGCAGCGAGAGCAGCGGTGGGGGCTGGGGGAGAACTGGCACCAGTTTGTCACCAGTCTTCAGCCTCATTTCTCTCCTCTTACAGCACAGCAAAGTCACCGCCGCTATTTTATGATGTGCACCATAATTTCCAAACATGCCGGCAA